CCTCGCAGTCATCACTGTGACAGAGCCTGAGCTGGTCGCGCTATTAAAGCCTTTGACTTGCTTTTACTGAAGGGACTTTCCCAGAACCACCCACGGAGCTGAAAGTGCTTTTACGTCCTGTTCCACTTCGCACACGCCTCCCGGCGCTGCCCAAGCACCTTGCCCTCTACTGGCACCCACCTGACAGCAAAAGCTGCCCCTGCCGGTCCCCCCACAGCCCGGCATGGACTAGGGACATGGCTGGTTGTGGCTGCTCCGCAGCTGCTGGCTGTGGCTGCTCCGCAGGTGCAGGAGGAAAACACAAGGTGCAGCCCGAGGGGTAATTTCCCTGCTGCTTTCGCACTGCCTGAGGTTATTTTTGAGTGCAGCTCCCACCCCCGGGTGCGCTGCCTGTGTGAAAGGAGGAAGGTTTCCCGAAGCTCTTTCTGCCGTCTGAGCAGCAGGGCGTAACTCTAAACACTTCTCTGCCTTTCACTGCTTGCTCCCTGCCAGGACTTTTCTTCCATTCCGAAGACTCTTCCTGCACTAAGCACACCCAATGCTTTCCCATCAGTCATTCTTTCAGGGAATTTTTGCTCTTTTCTCCAGATCATCAGGGTGAATTTGATTTCTAACCCTTCTCCCAGACGGCCCCTACACCCTCCCTCAATTGCCTGTTGCCTTGACTTGAGCCATGCTTCCCCAGAAAACCCCTGTTTGATGTGTTGCTGTCACACGCTATTAATAACTGCTCATGGGCTACAGCTTCTTGGGTAGCCATCTACCCACAATGGTAGAATTTCCCATTTCCCCTATTTGCTTATAAGAATGTCACATAAGGCAGCACAGAGATAGCATCGCTCCTGCTTTCCCTGTAGTACCCAGCCCTAATGAAGAGAAAATGAGATTGGTTTGACACAGCAGGTTCCTGCTCAACCTATGTTCTCAGCCCCAGCGCTGCCCTCTCAGTGTTTACCGCTTGGTGTCCTTACTAATTTGTTCCAGTGGTTTTCTGGGTGCCGAGGCAGGCTGACTCATCTAGAATTTCTCAGGTCTTCTTTTTTCCCCTTCTTTGAAGCAGATGGTGAATTGGGCATCCGTACCTCCTGGGACACAGCTCCATGGCAGCTCTCTGCATTCCTGTCCCCCTCCAACCTTGCCACTGTTGATGGGTGAATGGTGGTTACCCCATTGTGGTGAAACTCACTGCCTCCAGGGACAAAGCTATGGCTGTAGGTTCCCTTCCAGGCTGGTCTGTCTTCATAGTCAAGCCCTTGGACAAGCTAAACCCAGGACAGTGGGTTCCACTTTTCTCAGGGTGGAGTTGAGGCAAGGAAGATCAGGTCCTTTGGAAATAGGGATATGCCCAAGCTGAACTGTAGAGAGGAGTCATTGCCCCATTGCCCTGGACTGCTGAGGTGGAGAGGGATGCTGGGGAATGGGGAGAGATTTAAGAAAGGAGGTAGATGTGAAGATGTGGTCAGGTATTACCCCACATGGCCTCTTGAGCCTCACAATGGTCCCTCCAGGCATCAGGAGAGAGCTAAGCCCCCTCCAACAAAGCTCTGGCTCAGTGCCACAGGTGGTGGGTTTGGTCTTTGGGGCAGTAGGATGGGCAGGGCCAGGGCTCCTTCCCAGCCCTTGGAACCCCCCACACCAGGATCTGGCCTGCTGGCACCAGCACATCCCACCAAAGGGAGCAGCATATCCCACCAAAGAGAAGAAGAGCGAGAAGGAGAAACCCTGGAGCTGATTCAAAGCAAAACTAAAGAAAGCAAAATGAGGGTGGCAGGAGGAAATGCAGATGTTCTGCAAGCCTTCAGCAGGCTCGGCAACAGGGCGAGGTTCTTAGTAAGACAGGACAGAGGAGATGCAGTGGGCCTGGACCCTTGCGAACACACCAGGGCTGTGCAAGCTGCCGTGGTTAGGGGTCCAGGCAACCTGTCTAGTAGCCCACAGATCATGCCATCAACCCAGGGTCCAAATACTGCAGTACCTCCAGCCCAACCTCTTTGAACCTGAAACACAGGTGAGACCTCCCAGTGACCAGGAGAGTATTTGTAAGTGACCTTACTGCCACATAACCTCCTGCCCCTTCTCCCCCCCAGCCCCAGCATCTGCAATGTCTCATTCTGTAGGGATGGTGCTTTTGCTGCCCCATGGCATAGCTCTCCTTGAAGACACTGCTGCAAGCAGCTCATCAGTTTTCTTGAGACCTGGTTTTTGGGCTCAAGTTTCTTTAAGGGGTGTTTGCTCACATATTGTTCCCAATCACCTTTAATCAAGGCTGGGGTATATAAGGAACCAGGCTGGCTTTCAGCATCTGCTACTTAGGTACAATAGTTTGGGCATGCTGAAGTCATACATCCAGCTTCCTGCAGATGCTGACAGCGATCAGCTCCCTGGGGTCTTCCACCAGCGTCTGGCCCTTCCCCATCACCAAAGACCCCAACATGGGCTGGGGGATGAGCCCAGGTATGATGCCAGGGAGCTGGCAAAGCATTTTGGTACTGGCTGTGGTGGCAGTGCTGGGTGCCTGCAGCTGGAAGAAGCTGCTCTGCCAGAACAGGGCATGCAGGAAACACAGCTGCTTTGGTGCCTGCAGCCACCTACTCAGCTGCACCCAGGTCCTGGGATGGGAGGAGGTGCTGCATATGGATGGGGTGGTTTGGGTGCAGTGTGTCTGCAGAGGTGTGCATTATTTGGCACACAGTAACTGTACAGATCTAGGGGTGTGCGCACACTTCTGTGTTCATTTGTCTGTGCTTTCACATCAGTGTCCATAGCCAGGCTGTGGATACTCGCTCTGGGTTGATACAGAGAAAAATATAATTCAAACCCTTCAGTTTGGCTGCTGTGTGTTTGTGAGCACAAAGCACAGCAAAAGAGGCTGTCACTCGCATCCTCTGTCACTCACACCATGATACTGGTAGGAATGAGGTGAGCAGATCCAAACCTATGTCCTCTGCCTTCTGGCCTTTCAGGAGTCATTCCCAGTGACGGCACATCCTGAGAGCACAGAAGAGTCAGATCCAGGTGCTATTTAATTTTACAGGGCCTTGTTCTTCTCCTGCTTGCACTGCTGTAAGCCTGTCTTCCCAAAATGGGATGATGAGGACAAGGCTGGGACTCTGTGGCACAGGGGTCAGCCCCAGCAGCTGCAGTGCTGCAGGGGGTGAGGTCAAACAAGACAGCCAGATGGTAGGGTTTGCCTGTCTGCTCTGCAGCAAACCTCCTGTCCACAGCCTAAAGCAAAGACCATTGAAACCGTGCCACGCGTGCTCCTCCACAGCCAGCAAAGCAGCTGGATGTACCCCAAAGCCATACCAGGCCCATCAAATCTCAGCCTCTTACTGGTGCAGGCACAGAAAGCCAAAGGACAGTGAGGGTGATGAGGCCCTGGCACAGGTTGCCCAGAGAAGCTGTGGCTGCTCCATCCCTGGCAGTGCTCAAGGCCAGGTTGGACAGGGCTTGGAGCAATCTGGTCTACTGGAAGGTGTCCCTGTCCATGGCAGGGGGGTTGGAACTGGATGATCTTGAGGTCTTTTCCAACTCAAACCATTCTAGGATTCTGTGACTTCAGGTTGTCAGTTCAGCTCCCCCAGAAAACCTGACACAAATTTTAGCATCCTAAGTGCAAATGAGTTTGGGTCTCTGCTTAATTTGGAGTGGAGGGAAGGGCCATAAACCTTCCAATTGGCACAAATAGTGGGCAGCCAACTGGTATGGGTGCAGTGGCAAGCAAAAGCAGAAGGGCTTTGATATGGAGTGAGGGGCAGGGGCAGGGGAAGGAGGAATGTGAAATGATGGAACTAGTAAAGCCAGAACTGGGGACTTCTCAGTAAGGTGAGAGGTAAAAGAGCCTCCTCCAGGTCCCACAGCTGGAGGGAGCAGGACAGGCTGCAGACCTGGCACCTCTGCTGCCTGAGAGGCAGGACGGAAAATATGAAGCAGGACCCACCCTCTCGCTGGTGTCACCTCTGATGGGAAAGCCAAAAGCAAAACTGCTGACTGAGCTCCTGCTTCTCACCCGCTGCAGCCACCTCCTGCCTTGGCTTTCCGGGCGAGCTGAGCCCGGCCGGCTGCAGGTCTCTGCCAGAGCCATCAGGGCAAGGAGTGGAGCTGCTGGCTGGAGAAAAGCCCTGACATGGTGAGCTATGCGTTGGTGTGAACGAATGATGTGGGAGCTACTGCTGGGAGCCTTCAGTAGCACTGGTGACCAAGGGGGGGCCACTGTAACCACTGTCTTGCCCTGAGGAAGGGTGAAAGCCATCCTACACAGATGTTCATCCCATCTGGTCCCCTCTGGAGGTTTCTTGAGGACTTTCCAGCACCCCGCAGGGGACACACTGCAGTGGCTGTCATGCCTCACCACTTCCCCCAGCACCCAGTCTGGCACCCACAGGGCTGCACTGGTTTTATGGGGGATAAAAGGAAATAAAACCTATTGACAGTGCTGCTAAAACATGAGATGCAAGTAACTGCTCTCTGGGTTTTCCGGTCTTGCAGTAGGTCTCTGCTGCCTCCAAAACCACTCCTTACCAGTGTTCCTCCCCTCTCAAGTGGTGTCACTTCTTTCTGTTCTGTTTCTGGCAGGCAGCACAGCCCCAGCATTGCTTTCAAGAGGGATAATGGAAGTTTGGAGCCAGAAAGCTGCACAGAGCACCACGCTGTAAGCTTTGCCTTGGCTTACGGCAGCCAGGCCCATGGCTACCGCAAGGGATGCTCATCCCCAATGGGCTGTGCAAGTGCCCAGAGGTGAGCCTGGTAAGGGGGGACTTGGTTTGCAGCTGCATCCCAGTAACCAGCTCATACAGCAGAGGAAGAAAAAGAGTAGCAGCCTCTCTCTGCATTATAAAGAGCAGCTTCATGGAAGAGCAGCTTGCGTATGGCATGGAGAGGCCCAGAAACCACAACAGATGCTGCCGCCTCCCGGCTCTCACCTGCACGCCGCCAAGAGATGTTATTCGGCTGCCCACACGCCTGCCATCACAAGGCAACAGACTCCCCCTGCATGAAACCCTTTATTCACCCCCTGAGCCATATCCACCTCCCACCTACTGAGGGGAGGGACAAGGGGATATTTCCCCCCCCTTGCAGAGGAGGGAAGTGCCTGGAGGCAGGAGGAGAGCCAGCTGCCCTCTTCCCAGGGTCTTCTTTAAATAGCCGTACAGAAGGCAGTGTCTGCCCTGGGCAAGGAGAATCCCTCAGCCCCGGGCTCCTCTGAGCAGCATCTCCCAGGATCCACTCCCACTTTGGCCTCCAGCATTTCCTCCCACAGTCATGCTTGAGTCAGACCTGGGTGAGGGAAGGAGCGTGTCCACTCCAGAGAATCCCAGGTGGAGGCAGAAAATTGACGCATGCTGTAAATCACCTTTGGGACAGACCTATTGGCATCGCTGATCTGTCACAGCCCCTCCTACCTGCCCTGTGTGAAGAGGTAGCATGAGAAGCCCTGCAGGGACCTTCCTTGTCTCCTGGCACCCACCCAATAGCCATGGTCCCACCAAAGCCAGGACTGTCCAGTGTCAAGTCCAGCAGCATCATCTTTTGCTCCAGTCCTGGCACACTGGACTTTTCCCGTCTACAACCTGTGGTGGGAGTGAGGGGCCAGGGCAGCCTGTCCCTGCCTGCACCCCTCAAGCAAGGAGGGACCCAGCCCTCAGCAGGGCTGGAACTGCAGCTGCCACATCCTCTCGTCTGGGTGTTTCTTCCCCGGCTCTGATGTGACAGGCTTCTCATCTGGGAAGATGATGGTGGCGTATTCGGTCTGGTCAACTGGTGAGGTCTCCGGGGGGACCTGCATGTGCTGGTCACACTGAAACTCCAGCACACCATAGTCCACAGTGGACACAGACACCACAGGGGGCTTCTCTTCCTTCTGCAAGGAAATTCCATTGGGGTGATTCATCATCCAGAGGTACCTGCCATCCCCAGCACAAACCTTCTTTTTACAGCAAGTGCCAAAACCAGCTCTGAAGCATTCCAGGAGGGCAAGGTCAAGAGCAATACAAAGCAGAAAGACACACAGACCTGGGATAGCATTTGCCAAGACAAACTGGACCGTGAGCCTTGGGGTCATTGCTGAGGCCATGTGATCTCAGCTCTCTGCCTTTGCAGGCAGGTTGGGGTCCCTGCTTACCCAGTCATAGAAGGCAGGGTGGCGCTAGGAGCCCTTTTCCCACCTGTCTGAGCTGGCATGGGGTGCATGAGAAGACCACAGGTCTGAGTTTGCTCGGCTCAGAGAGACAGGGAGCAAAGGGGACCTACTCGCCGCCTTCAGCTACCTAATGGGGTTGCAGAGAAGATGGAGCAAGACTCCTCCTGGAGGTGCCTGGCAAAAGAAAGAGAGGAGACAGACACTAGCTGCAGCAAAATAAATTTTAGCTTAATATATTGGGGAGAGAGAGGGGGCAGTGCACATTTCTTCCCATTTTCTACAGCAACGCAATCCACTGTTAAAAGATAAGCCCGCTTCAAGCAATGGTTGAACTAGAGAGGTCCTATCCTATCCCAGTTACTTTAATTTTGTGATGGGCTGTGCTGCAGGTGCAGAAAAGCAATTGTAGCTGTGCAGAAAAGATCAAGCAGCATCAGAGAAGACAGAAGAAGCGAACAGCCTGTAAAAGGCTGATAAAGGGAGGCCCTGCACCCCAGTGATGCCACAACACTCCCCTGAAGCACGGCAGGGCATCCGAGACAGAAAACTCACCGCTGGCGCGTTTTTACTTTGTGGTTTCTGTACATCTGCAAAGTAACACATTCGGTTAGCAGATGCTTTCGTGCCAAGACAGCGGGAGCATCTGAGGCTAACCCAGTCCCCATGTCCTGCAAGAGCACTGGACACCACAACCATTGCACCACACTTTCTTCTTCTCCCTTTGGGGTCTAACACACTGAGCATTACAAAGACAAGTGTGATACCAGCCCAGGGTTTAATTAGGATTAGTGGGGTGCGATTCTTCAGGGGTCACTCCTGGGAAAGCCCCACAGGTGCTCACAGCAGGGAGGTGATGAGAGTGCCAAGGTGCCCATACAAGGTATATGGAAGGGACTCCTACAGCATTAACAGACCACACTAATGAGCAGCGCAGAGCCACACCATGTGGTCTGGGGTCTCTACGAAGGGCAAGCAGGGTCCAAAAGCACCCTTCTCCCCTAGGCATGGAGATACCTGTCCCATGGGGGCATGCTAGAGCTGAGTTTAGCACACTGAACTAGCCCATGTACCCAGCGAGTTGCAGGCATCTGGCTGCCCCAAGGTCCCAGCTGGGCTTTCTGGATTAGCATCACCCATAAGGTCCCCTGGCAGAACCCAGCCCCTCGGCACAGCATGGCCTCTGCAGGGGATCATACCTCCTCTCCTGTATGTGATGGTGAGGTAGCCAAAGATCAGCAGCATAACCACCCCAGCCAGCAACAGGATCCCCAGGAGCATGGCCTTGATATAGTCTGGGGGGTTGCTTTCCTCCGTCTCAGGCTCATCAGTAGTATTCGTCTTCTCAGGGGCTGCTGCAATAGCCATCCAGAAAAGTGGGAACAAGACAGCAAGTCAGGAGTGTAAAATGGGCTCTATAGTCCTTGTGAAAGGCAACCAGGGAACATGGGGGCTGTCCCCTGAAAGGGCTTGGTCCCGGGCAGGCTGCTACAGCCCTGCCATCCCTCCACACCGCTGAGAGCTGGGGTGCAGAGGGCCAGGGCACTGCTCTGCACCCACAGGCAGTCCTGCAGCATGACTCCCTGCCAGGCAGAGCCCATGGAGGACACGGCTTCCACAAGTCTCTCCACTGCTACCATGTGCTCGGGCCAGCACAGCATCAGCTCACGTTGGGAAGAGATGTTGTGAAAGTGACTTCTGCAGTGTTTTTCCTTTTTATAAAAGGTCACCTTCAGCCTCACAAAGCCCCCACATTGCCAGGCAAGAGTATGGCACATCTTGCTGCAAGATCTCAGTCTCCCACTCCATGGGGCCACGACACCCTCCCAGGGCATGGTTTTGCAACAACACTATCTACAATAACTGTTTGAGGGGTCTGAGGTCTGGTCACCATCCCAAACACAATCCCTATCCCCAAAGGGGCTGTTTAGGGTGAAGGCAGCTCCCTATACTTGTCTCCTGCCTCCATGTGTGAGTGGAAGCATCTCCCTATGCCGGTCTCCTGCCACCATCCATGAGTCAGGACTTGCTCCTCTCTACAACATCACTAGCAGAACAACCCTAGTGGGATGGCGCTCTCTGGCCTCAGGACCAGATCCAGCTGCAGTGTGGATATGGGAGGACAGCCAGTGTGGATATGGGAGGACTTGCCTGCATGCAAAGGCAAGGGGAAAAGACAGAGCTGCGCTCCCCTGATCCACAGCAGGTCCTCCCCCAGCAGGGTAGTGTCTGCCTTATGCCCTGGGGCTATAGCATGCTTGAGAGCACCATGTGTCCCCATCAGCTCAGTCCCCAGGCTGACCTGTGACCACCAGCTGGGATCTATTGCTCTCCATCACATTATTGTGTTCAAAGAAGGTGATCAGACCACAGAAGTAGGAGCCTGAGTCGTTCTGGTGGAGGTTCAGGATCTCAAGCTTGAAGGCAGGAGTGTGGTTGGTGAGCAGGTACTTCTCTGTCTTCACCTGGCCGTTGATCTGGCTGATCTGGTGGCCAATCTCAGCGATTTTTTGGGCTTGGCTATGGTTGGTCTCCTTGTACCAATTGAGGCTGTACTCTGAGCTGGACTCGTTCTCCATGGAGATATTGCAGAAGAAGGTGGCTGAGCCACCTGCAGGGAGAGTTAACATTGCTGGGAAGAAGGTCACTGATTGGAAGAGAGGAAACAAGGCACAGACATGGTTACAGCAGGCACAGGTCTCAGGAACAGCTGTACTCCCTGCTGGGAACCAGGAATGCAAGGCCAGTCCACGGCATCATTCTACATTTCAGGGACATCAGCCCTTGTCTCTCCCCTCCCAAGTCTGTGCCTGCCAGCTGAAGGGGGATCCTTGGGAAGTAACTATACCAAGAATTGGTTTCAGCAGAGCAAATTTTGCTCTGGGCTACGTAAAATTAACCCCGAACCAGGGTTCCCCATACCAGGGAAAACAGACCTAGGGTGTTGTATTATTTTTAAATCTATACTGTATGTTAATGTCTGAGTCATCCTTCCTCCAGCTGATTCTGCCTCTGAAAGTGAGCAGAGGGACCGCCGGGACTCAGTCCTGGACTGGGGCAGTACCCTGCAGTGCAGACCATTGTGTGCCCAGCTGCCTGTGGGGTGCTCCAGGTCTGCCCACTGTGCTGGGACACAACATGGGCAGGGGTTGACCAGGGCACTGTATTTGCCATCTCCCACCTGAGACCATCTGAAAGGGCAGAGGAACCTGGAGCTTACAGTAACCATCCCTTTCCAGCTCCTGCCATGTACAGGAGCAGCTAGCCAACCACACCAGGGGGTCCTGTGAACCCACTGGGGTCATCCCACACAGGCAGTGGGGATGCTGCTAACACAGACCAGGCTCACAACATCCCAGCTCAGCCAGCTCCATCCAGCAGGATAAGGCAGCTGCTGCATTAACTTTGGTTTGGAACAATAAAAAGCAAGAAGCATTTTTCATATGGGTTGTCTGACCAAGCAATTCAAACTGCCAGTGGTTTGAAAAGTTCCTGTCATTAAGAAGTTTTTCTCTTTTCAGAAACAGCCACTGATAGGTAGGTGCCCACACTGAGAGATGTAGTTTTTGCAGTGTTTTGGGTTTCTTGTGTTTAACAGAAAATATTCTGCAGGCTTGGGTCTTCTCTTCCTAATGAGTACCATTGCCAGCAACGAGTGAAGCACTTAGAGGACTTCTGAAAGCAGAGATTGGATTTACATGTTTCCCTGCACCCTCTCAGCATCAAAGGTAACATCTGCTCCAAGGGACACCCAGACCTGCACCAACCCTTGGGTCAGAAAACACCCAAAGTGACCATAGAAAGAAATGGGCTGGGAGGAAGTGGGGACAGGGTTTGATGAAACCATGCTCTTGATCGGTCTGCCCAGACGCGCTCCTTCCTCTCTGGCTCCCTTTCCTTTCCAGACTTCACCCTGAGCAAAAGTACATGCAGGACCCTGACTCCCTCAGTCTCAAGTCTAAACCAGGAGGCGCAGCCTGAAACTGTGAGACCCAGAGCAGAAAATCCCAGACCTGGCATGGCACTGGCAAACCCAGAGGCTCAACATCAAACCTCAGACAGAGCAAATTGTGCCCATAGCACATCTCAGGTGCTGGCATCATGGGCTGGCACCCTGTCTCCTTCTCCATCCTTTAACCCTGTTTCTACCCCAAGCATCCCCATTCCACTTGCTTCAGCTACACGTACCCAAAAGGTTTGGGTTTTCTGCCTCCTTGATGCCAGAGCTATTTTTAACTACAAAGCTCCCAGCTCATAGACATTTTCCGCTGACTGTGAATGACACAAGCCGTGTCGCAACCACACCATGCTCCGGTACCTACCCTGGTGGCAGCCAGCCAGCATAGGGCCACAGCAGAGCAGGACAGTGCAGAGCCTGATCAAGGTCACCTCCATGCTGCCCCACGTCATCTTCGAGGTAACCAGAGCCATGGCGAGCCAGTCAGTCTTCTGCCCGGGCAGATGCGCTGTGCCACCCCAACTCTTCTCTGTGCTTCCTTCCCCACAGCGGCGGCTTGTTCTCTGATGTGCACAGCAGGAGCTGGGGTGGAAATGAAACATGCCCATCTCTTCTGCAGAGGGAAACCCATCTGCCTCCCGCCCCCAGCTTCCTCCCCACGGAGGCAGGGATCAGCTGAACCAGTCCTGGCCTCTTCCCCTCCCATGTGCTCCCACATAGGCAGACGGCTGCCAAGCAGAGGGGACAGGCAATTCTGGGGAAATCTCCCACGGATGGAGCAGGCAGGGACCACAGGAGACACCCTCAGCTCCAGCCTGGCTCACAAGTAAAAGGGTGGTCTTGGGTTCACAGGCATCCATGGGTGCTCACATGAAGTGCCCATGGCAGTGTGGTGCTGGGGGGACATGTGGCACTGGGCAGCCAGGCAGGGTCTGAGCAGCCATGGGGTGCCTATTGGCAGCCTGGTCCCACCAGCATACTCTGACCAAGTTCAAACTCCTCTACTCCTGCAATGAAGGGATGGGAGAGGAGGAAGAAGGAGGAGAAAACAGTTTGTTCTTCAAAACTAAGAGACAGGAACTTCAGTGAGAACATCACACCACTTTTCTGATGCACAATGTCCTTCTTCCCCCAACAAGAAGCTTGCCCAATATGTTGGCAAGGTTCCCACTGACACGGTTGAGACCTGGACAAGACCCTGGTCTCCTGCAGCCCTCACTGCTGGGGCACAGAACCACCTCAAAGGATCAAGCATCAGTCCCAAAATGGCTTTAAAGCATCTGGGGTATATAACATGCACAAAAAATTTGGAAGATGAAAAAGCAAGCAATGATCGAACAACTGGGATGGAGCCAGCTGAAGGACAGAGCTGAATGTCCTCAAAGCCCAAGGAAAGCAAAGCTTCCCAAATGAGATGGGGAACACAATTTACCATCAAAAGAGGCTGAAGAAGAGAGACCCACAGGTCCCAAAGATCCCTCCCCTGCTGGTTTAACTGAATTCACATCTGTTGGTCTGACCCAGGCAGGAGAGGAGCAGGCTGGGGCAGGAAGAGGAAATGGTTAATAGTGCTTGCAAATAAACAAGGAGAGCAGTGAGGTCTTTCAGATACTTCTCAGAAATTAGGAAGGCCTGTGCAAACAATTTGCATGAGCACCAGCAGCCCTGGGGTGGTGAGTAAGCAGCGAATAAACGGAGGAATGGAGCGGAGGCACAGAACTGTTCCTTTAGCAAGCGGAAATCTGCAGGGTCTGGGCAGGGTGATGGTGACTGCAATGCAAGGGTGCCACACAGGTATGGCTTGGGGCCACCACCACTTTCGGCATGGCAGCGGGGTGCTGTTCCTGTTCTGCTGGCAGGCAGAGCTCATCCCCAGCTACTAAAGGTACTAAGGGCTCCCATGGACCATCTCTAGCAGATGGTGCTGCTAAAGCCTGTGGAAATCAGGAGATGCTGCTGCTGCTCAGGGTCCCAGCAACCCACCTGTGCTCACAGCAGGTTGGGGCAGGACCTAGCATGAGTTGAGAGGCATCTGTGCATCCCAAGCAAAACTCAAAACCTCCTGCTTCCCAAGTGGCAAGGCCAGGTAGCACCCTGCCCACAGAGGCTCAGTGCCCTCAGTCCTACCACACATGCTGGCATCATCCCAGCAGCAGCATGCTCCACACTGGCACCAGGTGCACCTTCACACTGTTTCCATGTGAAGCTGGGTGACGCACCCAGGGACCTTTCTTAGCAGCATCACCCACTGCAAGTAGGAAGAATCATCACAGAGATTGCTGCACCAAGATAAACAGCGAAGGAAGCAGGATGTCAGTCAGCTTCTCAGGAGGTGGCCATCGCCCAACAGCCCTCCTTGGGACAGTCAGCAGCTGTGGGCAGGGAAAAGGGCACAAGGATGTGACTGGATGGGGGGATATTGGGGAGTGACACTTTTAAGCCTTTCTGGAAGATTTAAGAAGTTCCTGGAAGAAAGGAGCAAGACTGGTCTCTCTGTACTGATGGCTTGGAAGTATGGATCAGAGACAGGAGGGGAGCTCAGGGTGCAGCAGCAACACACAGGCAGGAATTGGGGGAACAGGCTTCTTAACAGAAAAGACTTCAGGCAGCGCCCTCCTAAGCCGGCAGCCACTGCCCCCTGCAGAACCAGGACTCCCTCAGCAAGGCTCCTGAGGCCGGGACACCGCCGCAGCCCCTCTGCATCTCTGGGTACAGGACCCCTGCCCTGCTGGCACCCGGAGCGCTCAGCGACAAGCTCACAGCCACCGCAGCCCATCGAAGCCCGGGCGAGGCAGCAAGCACGGGCTGCGGCCGCAGAGGTTTTGGCGGCAGGAAGGCAGCGCGGAGGCACCCAGCGATGCGCGGCTACCTTCCCCGCCGCTGCCTCTCCCGCTGTGACCTCCCGCCACGCTCACGTCGCGGGCACCCACCCCTCCCGCACCCCGCGGACACGGGCGAGCCCCACCGCGCCGAGCGCCGTGACGTGCTGCGTGACGCGCAGGAGGCGGAAGTGGTGCGGTTGCCACAGTAACCAACGCCGGGGGGGCCCGCGGGGTACCGCGGCCATGGACGGCCTGGGCTTGGATGATGGGTCCGGGAACACGTATAGCCTGCGGGCCAGCGTCCAGCACCGGTGAGCAGAGGGTGCGCCGGGAACGGAGAGACGCCAGGGCGGCTTTGGGTCGGGGCGCGGGGGAGGTGGGAGCTGCGGTGGCGCTGTCGGGAAGGGTGTCCCTGGGCCTCGGGGGCTGGTATGGAGCCGTGTGCGCTGGGTCGAAGGAATGGGGGAGCCCCGGGGCTATGGGGACCCAGGCTAAATTTGACACCAGACAAAGGGAGGCGGGGGGGGGGGGGGGCAGGGGGGGAGGAGGGAAGCACAGGCAGGGGATGCTGCTGGAGGGGCTGGTTTCACACCTATGCTTGTGTGTGCTCAGCTTGTGGCAGGGCTGCTTAAGTATCTCCATCTCAGCTGGGCTTTTTTCCCCCGTGGTTTTTAATTTCTCATTTTTCCTTTAATATGTGAAAGTTACACATATTTCTACACATAGTGTGAACTTTCTGGGTTTTCTGTTGCTGTTTTATTGCCTGATAGATTTAAATCATCCACAGTAAAGGAATGCATCCGTGCAATACTGAAGGAGAAACTGGCCAATGTACAGTACATTCCAAACGACATGCCTCAGCTTACAATGTCTTTATCAGAGACAATAAAAGACAGACTGAAAGGTAAGGAGGTTTGTTTCTTTCCTACTGTGTCCTCTCCCTTTTAACAGAACCTTCCTTTATTCTTGAAACCTATTCTTTCCCTGCTGATTGACTCAAGGCTACTGTTACAAAACAATCTGTTCTATATACATATGTTCCTTGCCTGCAGAACTAGAAGCCTAATTCAAGTAGACAAGATTTGTTTTCATATAGACTGGCTGGTGTGGGATGTCAGCCTCGGAGGGGTAAAGATGCTGCATTAGAGAGAAGGAAGAAGTGATGCTTCATTGCCTCTTGCTTCAATAAGCAGAACCATTCTTGCTATTTTCCTGCTGCAAGTAGATCAGAGTTACGTCAGAGTGAATAGCAGGGAGATCAGAACAAGGCTCAATGGGAGCAGTAAAGGGGGAGAGAATGAGGAGCATTCTCCAAGGAGGGGTGTGACTACAGCCTTACAGCATTGGGAAGGGTTGTGGTGGTTCTGCACAGGATGCCCTCCACCATTTTTGAGCTCAAGAATTAAACTTCAGGCTCCATCAGGTGTTTCCTTGTGTTTGCTGCTGGAGTAAGTCCATAGACTTGTGTTGGCGCAGTCACGTGTTTTGGTTTTTTTTTTGGTCTTCTTCCTGAGAACAGGCTGGTGCTCCATCTGCTGGGCTGGCCTGACACGTTGGCACAGAGCTACTATAACCCTCGGCAGGAACCCTGAATTTACACTTCTCCCAGAGTTACACATCTGTTTAAAGCCAGCAGCAGCTGTAGTCCCAGCACGAGTTGATGCTGAGCTAATATGCACAGGGCTTGGCTTCAGGAATCTGTAAACACAGTCACAGTTGCCTGAAGTGAGACTGGCCCAGTGTATTAGCTGGCATTTCTGATGAGCATTGACAGGGTGGATGTTACCGAACCCAGCACGTAGTGTTTAGTCCTCCAGTGGAAACAGTGCACCAGAATCTTCCCAGGACACTGATTTGTTGAAGACAGGCATTAGGATCTATATTTTATTTTAAACATTCTTGTTCTCATTTGGCTTCTGGAACATTGCCATGGCCTGACTGGATCTGTCCTGTCCCCCAAAAGTATTTCTTTACTATTGTAAAACAGCTGCATATCTTTGCAGACACATAACATACACCCACATATGCTTTTATGTGGCCTTTTATCCCAGGTGAGAAGTAAAGGAAACAACTATGTGGCAGAAGAATTTCTACAATGCTTTTGCACAAGAACAGTTTTAAAATAAGTCAACTTTCTTCAAATTGGATTTTGTCCACCATTCTTTTTATGTGTTCAGCTCCTGAAAGCTGTTAAGGTAGAATGCTGACAAGTTGTCTGGCTGTTCAGGGGTGTCTTCTGCCTTAGATGCATCTTCTGATGATGCGTAATGCCCTGTTCACCCTTTAACTCCAATAAAATCGTGGTACTCTGTACCTAGGAAGATGAAGCTGCAAGGTAGTCTGTCTGCTTTGCCAATGTATAGGTTTGTACAAGACACTTGCTTTGTAGAAATCTTTAGCTTTGTGGGCCCTGTTTTGGGCTCCTATTTTAAAAAAGTAGTTGCTCTCACTATGATTTTTTTCTCTCTCTCCAGAGGTGGGATTTGACAGGTACAAAATGGTGGTGCAGGTCGTGATTGGAGAGCAGAGAGGAGAAGGAGTGAAGTAAGTTTTGAGTCTTCTAATTGTATTTCTATAAATCTTGTCAGGTTTGGGTGTTGTTGGGTTTGGGTTCAGGTTCGGGTTGAGGTTTTTTTTTTGTTGGTTGGTTGCTTGCTTGGGTTTTTTCTGCTTTGGAAGCTGTTTCCAGATTTCCTAGGTACAAAGTTCTCTCTGCAGATGATAAAGTGTAAAGCACTTTCTTTTCTCTTAAAGTGGTAAGTGAGAGCTTGGACTGTGCTTGGTTGAATTACCTCATGATAACTGGCTGTACAGGGGTTCTTAGCAAGCAGAAATGCTGAAAAGCATTTGTGATGAGTGTTGCAGAAAGGCATTTTAAATTGTATTCACAATGAACTAGAGCACACACACAGTTCATTCTCAAGTTCTGGCTGGAGCACAAGAGCCAGGGTAACCCACTTCTGTCTAAAGCCAGATTTCCATAAATTCTTGCTTTGCATTTAATCCCCCCAGGTAGGCATTTAAGAAGTTTACATTTCTATAATCCTTATACCATACTGTAATGGGAACCAAGCCTAGACGAAGTTCTAGTTTAGCCCCAGATAACTGCAATTGCACAAAAGAATTCCTCTTCAGCTGCAGTAGTGGGCTGTAGTTTTCCATTACTAGTGAGTAGGGAGAAAATGAAAGAGAACAGCCTACAAGGTTTATATACTTTATCTACTGGGCTTATCTTTATTACTGTGGCCGGTGCTCCAGCAGCAGAAGATAAGTGCAGCAGAGCTGTAATCAGATCTGCGGCCTCAATGTTCTGGAGGTCAGGAAGGAATATCTATACCTGCTGCTCAGGCTTTTGTTAGGAATGTCTCTCTGCAGGCAGACTGCTTCAGAACCAGTGAATGGTTCAATGAAGTGGTCTGATTTGAAAAGTGAAGCCCAGCACAAGCTGATAGAGCAATTGGGAAAATTTTCTGGTTTGCAGGAGGCAGGAGGCGAGACTGAAGCATGATTGCTAACATCATTAATGCAAAATACTGGGAAACCAGGGTATTCCAGAGGCAGAGTGGAATACTGGACTGAATAAAAAGCAGAGTAATCCTGAGAGCTATGGTAATAGGGAAAAACTAAATAAATGGGGGGGGGGGGAAGGATTAAATTCAATAGACTTCTAAAATGAGTTGTATGTCTAGGGACTAGGAACAACATGCTCTGCCACAAACATTGACCCTGTCATCTGAGACTGACTGGGGCAAGCAGGGAGGTGGCATTTGCAGCAGGGAAAGGGGAGTGTCAATGACCCTAGACAAGGCAGCACTGAGGTCTCATCTGTGATATTCTGTTACAGTCTGGTTGCTTGTCTTCAAGGTAAGGCTTGGACTGAAGCAGGTGTACAAAAAGGCCAGCAGCATGGTCACGGAATAGAGTATAGATACGTGAAGACTAGAAGAGTTTAGCTCATGGTCTAGTAACACAACGTCTGCCAAGGAATACGATAGCTCCCTATAAATATGTTGTGGGTATGTACTATGAGGGTACAGGAGGTGAAGGACAAGAACAAATAAGCTATATTAGCCGCTGATGCACAGGCCAGAAGTCAAAGATTCTTAAGCACCATAGCAATGAGGTTTCAAGCCCTGCTGCACAGTGCAGGTGGTTGACAGCTGAGGAGTTTCAAGATCAAGCTTGATCCAGATACGGAAGGGGTTACAGCATGTGGTGGAATTTAGCAGTGGGGATCTAGGCTTAGAATTCAGGAGAATTCTTCCCATTTCCTTTATCTTTAAAAAAATCTCAGTTTGATTGCTAAGGTCCTTATATGTGAACCTTGTGGGTGATGACTCAACTCTGTGTCCTTTCTCTAGCATGGCTGCGCGATGTTTCTGGGATGCTGACAATGACAGCTGTGCTCACGATGTGTTCACAAATGTAAGTATCAACTGGTTTACCATGGGAAAGTGTAAAGCTCCTTACTTTTGTGTGAGAGGTAGAGCAACCTTAAATATGGAGCAGAAAAAAACAGCCACTAGAAGGAAGGAACCAAGACTATTGAAACAGTATGATTTACGTCTTCACAAAACTTACTTAGATATCATATCCAACATAGTAGAACTTATTTCTTGAGTGGGTCATATAGTGCTGTGCAAAAGTCATTATAGTCACACCATTTTACAGTTGGGGAGAGGAATCAATGGCAAGAAAGTATTTTCTTGCATGGTTTGCTGAACTGCTGTTGTGGAGTATGGCTGGAATCCAGGACTGAGCAAAAGCCAAG